GCAGTGGTTGCGCTGTGGCTGTCTGTGTGTTTCTCAGTCGGATCTCTCTCTGATTGTGTCCCGGTCACTGCTGGAGATTCCTCTGTTATCTGGTGTAACTGGTTTGGTCGTCTTGGGTTCTCGTGAACAGACAGACGGTTCTTCCTGTCCACAAAGAAACTTTAAATGGCAATGATCTTTATTCACTTTAATGCATGTCTTATTGTGGTTAGTTCATTAGTGCACACATTTTCAATTTGATTTTATTTAATTTTTTTATATCTTAATTTTTTGCTATTTTTGTCTCTTTTTTTATCAGTTTTTTTATCAGTTTTTTTATTAGGTCTATATAAATTTTTAGCTTTAGTTTATTTAGTTTTAGTTTTTTTATTTATTTTAGTTTTATGTATTTATTCATATTTTTTAAATATGTTTGTATAGTTTTCGTTTTTAGCTTTAGGTTATATAGTTTTAATTAATCTTTTTTTATTTTATTATTATTTTTTTTCTTTCTATATAGTTTTGGCATTCGTTTGTTTGGGTTTAATTATTATTATTTTTTTATATGTCTGTATAGTTTTTGCTTTTTTAGTTTATTTACTTTTAGTACCAAAAATGAGAAATTTAGCATCTAGATGAAATAAAATAAGTTTAAGTTTGTTTGTTTGTTTTTTATTTCAGTTTAATGTTTATGTAATTTTAAACAATTACACATTTTTTTGGTTTTAGTTTTATTTATTTGTTTGTTTGTTTGTTTGTGTTTAAGTATTCTTAGGATAATAATCCTGCACTAAAAACAACTTTCACTCAGAAATTTCTAGTAAATTTCACAAATTATTACAATGAATCTGCAAGTACTGAATACTTGCTTTGTAAAATAATTTTAATAGTGTGGTTTTAATAGTTTTAAATCATTTTGTAATATTTATTAGTAATTTGCATGACTTTTGGTGTAAACAGTAGTTTTTCAATGCATTGAAATAAGGAAGAACCCATCCGATGGTTTCCGAGATGTCAGAGAAAGCAGCAGCGGTGATGATGAGGATCTCTTCAGTGCATGAATGAGCTGCAGCTGAAGCGTCTTCCGTTCTCTCGGGCTCCAGCGCTTCTCTGCAGGCATGTCAAGAGACGCCTCTGGGGAGGCGAGTGGGCTGCGTCGACGTCACTGCACTATTTCTGCATTCAGCTGCTTTTCTTGCTCTCCGGCGCTCCTAATCTCTCTCTCTTCCTCCGGCTAGCCTTTTTTGGAAAGGGACGGCTCTGCTGGAATCTCCCCCCGGGACGCTGGCGGAGACGTTTGTTTAAATGAAAGGGTTTTGAGGGTTCGAGTCTCATTTGAGGCGATTAGGCTGGAGTTATTGAGGTCCTTGTGTGACGAGGATTTCTCCCGTCATTCCTCACGTCTGTCCCGCTCTCATGTGACTCACTGTGGCCCCGTTTATTACATTTTTTTCTTATTCGTGGTTTTGCAGCAGGTGCAGAAGGTTTGGTGTTTCCCGCAGAAATCTCATGAATGATTGTGTGACTGGGTTTCACAAAGTTATTTTAGTATTATTAACATATTATTATATTTTGTATAATAGTATTATATTTATTTATTATAATATTTTGAATCAATATATGTGAGCCTGCAGCACAAAAGCAGTGTTGAGTCGCTGGGGGATATTTGTAGCAATAGCCAACAATACATTGTATGGGTCACAATTATACATTTTTCTTTTATGCCAAAAATCATTAGGATATTAAGTAAAGATCATGTTCCATGAAGATATTTTGTACATTTCCTACCGTAAATATATCAAAACTTAATTTTTGATTAGTAATATACATTGCTAAGAACTTCATTTGAACAACTTTAAAGATGATTTTCTCAATATTTAGATTTTTTTGCACCCTCAGATTCCAGATTTTCAAATAGTTGTATCTCAGCCACATATTGTTCTATCCTAACAAACCATACATCAATGGAAAGCACATTTATTCAGCTTTCGGAAGATGCATAAATCTCAATGTCACAAAATTGACCCTTAGTTTTGTGGTCCAGGGTCACATATATAGAATTATTATATTATATTATATTAGGATTATCCTTATATATATAGGATTATAAGGTGGAGGCAGGCGAGTAGTGCACATTAAAGTGAGACGAGTTCGTCTATCAGAGAGTAGATTGAGCTTTATTGAGTTCAGCCTGCTTTCATGATGAAATCTCATTAGAATCGACAGTGAAACACACGTGCCGCTCTGTTTCTTCTGTTCTTCGTGCGAGAGATCAGTGCAGATGACAGGAATAGTGATTTGATTGGTTGTTGTTAGAGGATGTTCTGTCTGAGCTGTTAAACCGGGTCTGAGCTTAAACCGGTTTGGTGTCGCTTTAATCGGATCTGTTTGGAGAAGTCAAGAGGTCGTGTGGAAGTTGTTTCAGGAGTTTATTGCTAGCATGTTTCTACACTTACCGGAGGAAGTTAAGCATTGTTTGCATTACAGACAGACATGCAGGATTTAAACATGCGTAAAATAATGCAGGGTTTGCCTCTGCATCCGTATGTGACGCTCATGAAAAAATGGAAATTATATTTTGCATCGAGAAACTTAAAATTAAGCCTATTTAGGACCATTAAGATTTTTTTGCATTGATTGATTATTTGGCATTTTCTCCTAGACATAATTCCGTTTCATAATTTCATATTCCAAGCTGGCATTCTCAATAATCTGATTTGATAATTAAAATCATTCCTTTTTTTCTATTTTTTAAAATACATTTAGTTTCATGTTTTTATAAAATCATTTTATATTTTAATTTAATATAATTTTTAAAATATAAATATATATATACATTTAAATCAGCATTAATTAAATTCAATACAACACATACTACTAGGGCTGTGCGATATTGAAAAAAATGCGATATGCGATACCTTGTTAAAAAATGCGATATGATATTGCTTAAAGTGTGAAAAATCTATTTAAATTATATTTTAAAATATTTAAAAATGAAAATGATATAACCAATTTGTTTCACATTCTTTCTTGGAAAAGAAAGCATCACTACAACTTCTGAAAGTGACCAGCAGTGTTTTAGCAGTACATAAAAAGTAATGTCACAAATCAAAAAATGTCATTTTAACATCAGTGTGAATGACTAAAAAATTATTAACACTAATTTTATATCATTGTGACTTTGCTTTCCACACACTTTAAGTACTTCTTCATATACCACAGCAAACACTATAGTCTGAGAAAGTTCAAACATGATTAAAGGCAAGTGAACAATCAGTAAAAAAAAGAAAGAAAAAGAAAAAGAAATACACAATTTACAAGCATAGATCAAATACATCAATTTCTGTACCTGAATACTAATAATTAAGTGTAAAATAACACTGCATTGTGTTCACTGTATGAATTAAATTTAGATTAATCTTTGTTATAGCCGTTTTGTTGTTTGATTAACATTAGTGACATAATCAGCAGCAGGTATTTATAGGCTGCTGTCCCTTTAAATCCGACTGCACGGATCCAGTAAAAATGATACACATCCGATTACTTTCTCAGCTGTTTACATTCATTTAAAACATAACTGACTGCGTTTACGAGAATGATCGTCAAGACGGGTACTATTGACATAATTCTGTGTGTATGTGTCTGTTCAAACACGAGGAGATGCGAAAGACGAATAAACTCGGTGTTCGTGCGCCGTCTGAAACGCGTCTCTCTGTGTGTGCGCGCGCGCTTTGCAGGTGTGCGGCAGAACTGAAGAGAGACGCTGTGCGAGATGCGGCTTGTGCGCGCGCTTCAGGTGTGAGTCAGACAGCAAGACGAGACGGCAAAGAGTTGTTTTCTGCAACTTATTGCACTTAATAACTCTTTTTAACATCAAGCAATTCTCTGCTCTATGCGTCGAACTAAAACATTGACCTTTTGCAGCGTTTTGATTTAAGTAGCCTATTATTAAAATGATATCGCACGCCCTTGCTATATGCATATCGCGATATTTACATTTGCGATATTCCGATATTTTCGATATATCGTGCAGCCCTACATACTACTATGATGTTGTACTTTTCAAATAAAATAAAATGTTATTTTTTGCATCACATTAATTAACATTTGGGATAAAAAATTCTTAATTGCCATTAAAAAGAAATGTCAAAAAATCTTTTACAAGAGTATCTTAATGCAAAATATTTTTTTTCTTTTGAAGTGCTCTTGATCATTTGAAACAGATGCATATGAAAAATAATATGCAATCATCAGCAATAGACAGCATATAAATGGAAAACTGCATAATGTTACAGAGTAAAATGTTACTCTGGACGTGATGTCTGTGCAAGCTTTGGAGGTGTTGATGGAAGTGATTTACTGGATTTATGCTTTGATAATCGTACTGAATATTATCCAGATGTAGTTTTTGATAAAAATGTGATTTTCTCACCTTTTTGCTGAAAATTATGCATTTTTATGAAACCTACCTATATTCAAGTGTTGATAAAAAAAGAATGCTTTAAGCTAGAATAAAACAGATTTTTTTGTTTAAAAGTAGAGGCTCTGATCTTTATTTTGGTCAACATTCATACAATATACAAAATATACTGGAGGCCATCAAATTTGAGTGAAAATCATCAAAATTGCTGGCGGTGGCTGGCAACTTTTTTCAAAAATGTTGGCGGGGAAAGAGTTAAACATCTAAAATTATCTTAATTTGTATGTTTTCTGAGTTCGTCAGTTCTGTTCGGGGGCCGTTGATGGCATCAGATGGACGAGCTCGGGATTCTTGAGCTGAGAATGCTGGGATGTTTTCCACATCTTCATCAACATTCCTGTGTGCAAATATCCGTGTTACGCAAGACATCGATCTGGCCTTGGTTCCCATCGCATTACAGCATTCTGACAGAATTTGTGTGTGAGTGTGTGAGTGTGTGAGTGAGAGTGTGTGTGTGAGTGAGAGTGTGTTAATGAAAATCCTTCTTTCTAGACACATTTCTAGCTCAGTATAAATAATGAGTATGTATGTTTTATTGCAGGCTCAGATTGCGTTCCTGCAGGGTGAGAGGAAAGGCCAGGAGAACCTGAAGAAGGATCTGGTGAGACGGATAAAGATGCTGGAATATGCTCTCAAACAGGAGCGGTCAGTAAAACACACACACACACACACCTTCATCATCCGAACATCATTCACGCGCGTCTGTGTGACGTTATGTAGCCTGAGTCCAGAGAGCGAGGTTTATTTGATGATGAGTTCCCATGATTCCTGCATCAAGCTCAGCCTCCGTACCGCTCAGATTATACTCGTCCTCTGTAGGGGTGTGCGATATGGACAAAAAAATCACATCACGATATTTTCTGCGATTTGTACGATAATTACACAATATTTTGCTGAGTGTGATATTGTGGTGGTATCTTAAACTGACTTCTAAAGTTTTTGATATTCTGTGTGGTGATCAGTTCACAGCAGTGACAGAAATTAATCTTTTCCAATAGGTTTAAATAGATTTTTACCTAATTAATGGGCATTGTTACATGTATAAAGCCGTTTATTCTAAAAGTGTGCGTTATGTTTTCAGTCAAATTCTTAAATTGAATCAGTCATTTAGAATAATAAGACATTTGTGCTGTTACCAAGCAAATGAAATCAGTATTTACAAAATTAATCTTTGCAATGCAGAGGAAATACAGAAGCTGGAAGGGACATTTAGATGCATTTACATACTGATTAATGCAGAACATGAATGCATTTAACCTGCAGTTACAAATGCATTAATACTGTTTTGATATTTTAAACATAAAACGTTGAATACTGATATTTAAAAAAAAAAAATTTTTTATGAAAAGATACTTTAAATGTGAAATTAAAACCGCCAGTAGGTGGCAGCAAGTCACTGTTCATAAGTGAGTCACTGCGACTGAACCGAATCATTTAAACGGTTGATTCATTCAGGAACGAAACGCCGTCATGTTGCTCAGAGACGCAAAACAGTGCTGTGGCTGTATTTGGAATTATTTTTTGCTGGCAAAATCGTGCAATAGTCTACAACGTAAGTCTCTTAATATTAACTTCTTGTTTATTGAACTGTTGTATAAATTCTATATCACATTTGTAATCAAGCCAAAAAACGGCACTCTTCGTGTCATATTGATTAACTAAATGAAATATAAATATATACATTTTCTGTCCCCATATCTTGAATTTTGGGAGCATTCTAAATGCATTTTAACAGACTGAATCATGCAGTGAATGAATGCACACTAGTCTAAACTACTAGACTTCACTCTGTAGGTGTGTTTTTTTTTTTGCGATATACTCGATAAAGTCAAATCGCACATCGTTAAAACGTGCGTCAGTAGCTGAGGTTCAGTCCTCATACAGCAGGATAACACAACCGCTTTCTGTCTGGATCTCATGCTTTCGTCACGTCAAGAAACAGCTTCTTAGTTCGGTTGTTTACAGTTACTAAGCAACAGCTCATTAATATTGATTTCATCTGATATGTGTCACTGGAGTCTTTGAATGAAGCTCATTTAATCTGAATTTACAGTCAAAACTACCTGTAAAATAATATTAGATGTGCTGTTTTTCACAGTTGTTTTCGTCCTTAAATCAAATGCTAGTACTTTAACTGTTGTTTTGTTAATCGATTAATCTATTTCTCAGATTAATTGGACAAAAAAAAGCACAGTTAAAAAATATATATATATTTTTTTTTTTATAATTAAAAATTAAACGATAAAAAAGCAATGTTGCAACTCGCTACATTAATACTGAATTTATCTATGATAAATAGGTTTTAGTCTTTTGACTTTAACTCAAGAGAATGGCTATAAATAACTATTATTTTGTTAATCAATGAATTGATTGATTATTTCTCAGATTAACTAGATGAAAAAGCACAATTTTATTTTCTGTATTTATATTTTAAATATAAATATCTGCTAGGGATGTAACAATATCAAAATCTCACAATGCGATATTATTGTGATATGAAGTCCACGATACAATATTTATTGCGATATTTAAAAAGAAAAAAAAAGACATGAAGGATTGGGAAAAAATGAAAATTTTGTACATTTTAAAGTTAAATTATTCTATCTAATGCACTTTGAGAGTTCAGAATGAAGAGCTGCGACACATGTTCTTAACTAAGAAAACTTAAATCAGAAAAAGTCAGAAAAAGAACTTTAAAGGAGACTCAACCCTCTTTTTATTTGTGATCTACTGTCTCAGTCTAAATTACACTCACACTGCTGTTTTAGGAAGATAAACTAATTATTATAATAACAGTAATAGCCATATATTATAAAACAATTGCACTGTAAAATAAATGAAAATGACTATTTCATAGCTATATTATTTTAGCTTTACACTACAGTAGAGAAATAACAATACTTCTTTCCTACTTTCTACACTTGAGAGAGATCTTGTGAATTTGGACTGAAATATATTTTAAAAACTACACTTTTTGCCCAGAAGAGCTATTGTTTTATATCGTCATGTGACTGTGATAATATCGAGACAGTTTTGCTATCACGATATTGAATATCGTTACATCCCTAATATCTCTCATCTTCTCCTTTAATGCAATGTGCATATTGTTGTCAAATTAATATATATATATTGGTTAATGCACATGCATGCATGTCTAACAATGACTTGCATACAGTCAGGACAGTTTATATGCAAAATGCAAATGCGCATTCATTATTATTATTAACAGAAGGATGTAAGTTATGCGCTGGATTAAAACCCATCTCAGTCTGACAGCGTCAGATTTGGCAGAAATGCATCAGTGTTTCTGCTGAAAGCCTAAGGTTTGAGGAACGTGAGGCGATTCCCAGAGTTCAGTCTGATTTACCGTGGTATTTGATCCCATCAAGGCTTCTCACATTCGGGGAATTTATAGACTCGTCCCACACGCATGTGCGACTGGAGGTGCTGTCACCGTGGCAACAGTCTCTCTCTCTCTCCTCCGCAGGGCCAAATACCACAAGCTGAAGTACGGAACGGAGCTCAACCAGGGAGACATTAAGCCACCCAGCTACGACTCAGGTAAACACCAACCTTCATCACTAGAGTGTGAGCTGCTCGGTTTCTGTAGACGCCAGCAGGAACGAGAAATGTTATATATACACACACACACACACACACACACACTCTCACACACTAACACGAACACACACACACACAGACACACACACTCACTCACACAAACACACACACACACACACACACTCACTCACACACACAAACACGTGAAGAACAGTAATAGAAAAAAAGAAAAGTAATAAAATAATAATTTTATTGTACATTTTGACTGCAATTTTATGTGAGATTTAAAAAAAAAACAATTGCTGTGCATGTTTGTAGGGTTGCACAATTTGCCATTTTTCTCTCTTCTGTTGAACTCAAAAAATGATACTTTAAAGTACAGGGTGACGATGTATCGGTTTTGCTGAATAATCGGCACCGATAGTTGAATGCCGGAACTATCTGCAAAAATCCATGCCGATAGTTTTTCCGGGTTGCGTCCTTTGCTGGAGCGGCTGAGAAGGTCCTTGTTATATACAGCAAAGTCCCTATAGTCTTTGTTATGTAGTACTTGTTATATAGTCACAATTTGATGTGAGATTTAAAAAAAATTATTGCTGTGTGTGTTTGTAGGGCTGCACAATTTGGCCAAAAAATTGTATTGTTATTATTATTATTATTACAAAATAAATTAATATGAAAATTACTAAAACAAAACAAAAAACTATTGTAATATTTAACTGTAAAATGGAAAAATACATTTAAATTATAATAATAATTATTATATTATTTTAATTTTATTTTACATCTTGATTGTGATTTGATATGGATTCAAATATCCAGGTTTGCTGTACTTGTATTTAGGGCTGCACTATTTGGCTGAAATTTTGTGATTATATATCAATATGGCAATAAAATAATAATAATAATAATTGTTATTATTACTGCTACTACTACTACTACACTAAATAAAAATATAAAAACTACTAAATAAAAACTAAATAAGAAATCTTACTATTGTATTATTATTATTTACTTAAAAATTACTAAATTAATATATAGGGAATATTGCTATTTTATTATTATATATTATATTATTATATTTTTATGTTTTTCTCTTCATCTTTTTTAAATTACAGTAATATTTCACTGTAAAAATCATGTACTCAATGTATTGATAATAATTTTATCTTTACAGTAGAAGTGTACAATTTCAATACTAATTTTAATTGATTAATTGAAATGATAAACCATCAAACGTTTTTTGACGGAAATCTGCAGGACACCTGAAAGATTCTTATTTTGATTTTGTGAAGATGGTTGTGTTTCCAAATGCATGTTAATGCAATAATCACACTAAGACATATCGTTTTACTTTGATTAATCATGCAGCCCTACATAATACTGTAATAATCAAATTATGCTCTGGCAGGCAAAAGTTTGGACACATCTGCTCATTTTTTATCATAAAAAATGCTAATAACATAAAGATAACACAGAAGTCTGTGAATGATGCAGTGATCACAACATGATGAAAAATCTCATATATCTGAACATCATCTCCATCTAGATTCCAGCTCTGCTTTCATCAGGTGCATCCTGGGATGCCTTTAAAGACTAGTGGAGGAACATGTGAAGAGCACATTTATATTTGTCTATAAAACTGATCTCAAGCCTTTAGAAATCATGGGAATTCAGTCCAAACTCATGTCTGTACAGTAGAGGTACACTTCTACAAATTAGGCTGGATTTTTTCATGAACCTTGTGTAAATCCAAACAAACAAACCAGACTTTCATGTCAGATGGACGTCACTGTTAAACACTCAGAGTGTTGCTGCAGTCTAGTGATGAATGCGAATGTGGTCAGACAGGAAGCTGTGAGCAGCAGATATACTGTGAGTGACAGGTGTGTCATCCTGTGTCTGACCTTTGACCTTTAGATGAGGGGAACGAGAACGAGGCTCTTCCTGAACCACCCAACAGTCAGCTGAGCTGGAAACAGGGACGACAGCTGCTGAGACAGTGAGTGAGACACACACACACACACACACACACACACACTCACTCACTCACTCACTCACAAACACACACACACTCACACTCACTCACTCACTCACACACACACTCACTCACACTCACTCACTCACTCACACACACACACACTCACACACACACATACACTCACACACACACACTTTATGCTGTGTTCGCGTCACTGAAAATGACAACCTGCTTCGTTTGTTTACAGAACTGCATAAATTAATATACAATGAATGCACAATATTCAAAGATTGTTATTGGTAACTAAAACTATTAAAATAGTTTTCATTAACAAAATAAAGCTGAAATAAAATAAATGAATATAAATAAAATAATTATATATATATATATATATATACACTGTATGTATATGAAACTGAAATAAAATAAGTATAAGTACTAAAATTACTAAAGCTGGAAGGAAAATAAATTCAAGCTGAATAAAATTAGATAAAAACATAAAAAAATAACACAATGGCCTATACTAAAACTGAAATTAAAAGAAATAACAAAAAGATAAAACAAAACTAAGAAAAATGACACAAGCATATAAATAAAACTGAAATAAAAATTAAAATGAAAGCTAAAATATATATAAATAAAAGCTACATCATATTATTAATAAATACTATGATAGTATATAAATAATAATTATAATTAGTGCTGTCAAACGATTAATCATAATTTATTTAAGTTTTTATTTACATAATATATGCGTGTGCACGAGATTAATCGTTTGACAGCACTAATTATAATAAAAAAACAGATTATGACAAAACTGCTCGTTTTCCAAGTTTTTTATGAGCAGAAACTGGGAGTATAAATTATATTAAATTAATTGATTATAGTTCATTTTGTGATTCCAGAAGTTTCAAGAACTGTATGTTCTTCAATAAAAAACAATTGTTTTAAAAATATTATTATTAAATGTTTATATTTTTTTCACTATACAATCAAAAGAATAAAAACATGAAATTATATTTTGCATATAAAAAATGAAGTCTATTTTAGGACTATAAATAATTTTTTTAATATTGTGACATCATTAATGGTCCTGTTTATTCAAAGTATAATTTCTATTTATTCCATAATTTTATAAGACCCTTAATTTTTTATTAAATAAAATGTTTTTTTTTTATATAGTTTCAATTTTCACCTTGATTTTATGTGGGGTTTTTTTTAGCAATTTAATTTAGACTGAATTTAAATTATGATCAATTTTAAAACAGTATTTAAATGAGTAAAGACATGAAGCAGTAGAAGAATTGCAGTGTATTAGTGTTTGATTGTACGTGACACACACAAGGTAAAGCGGTTCAGGTCACTCCCACACCGAACATGAAGCTCTTCCACACCTCCACACTCCTATCTATTTATAAACGCTGATCTATCTGCTGATCTCCAGCATACGTGAGCGTCGGCTGTCATATTGACTGGGATATTGAAGATCATTTTAACTTGAGCATTTAGAAAGAAAACCCAGTTCAGGCGTGATGTAATGAAGCCCAGCACCGTTCACACCGCAGTGATTTGATGAGGTTTAACGCTCAGAGTGTAATCCTGATGAGTGTGTAAAGTGTAAAACTCAGATGAACTCACACCTCTGATCACATGACTGTCGCGCTACAGCATCAGACAATATAATGCATCATAATAGTCCATATGACTCTCGACTCGTGCGCTATATGCCACATCTTCTGAAGCGCTGGGATAGTTTTTTGTGACTGATATTTAAAGGGATAGTTCACCCAAAAATGAACATTCTGTCATCATTTACTTACACTCAAGTTTCTCTCTTCTGTTGAACTCAAAAAATGATACTTTAAAGTACAGGTCGACCGATGTATCGGTTTTGCCGATTAATCGGCACCGATAGTTAAATACCGGACCTATCGGCAAAAATCCATACCAATCGTTTTTCCGGGTTGCGTCCTTTGCTGGAGCGGCTGAGAAGGTCCTTGTTATATACAGCAAAGTCCCTATAGTCTTTGTTATGTAGTACAAGAGCGGCCTCTAGAGGCGGAGATCACTGACAGCACGTGCTGTTTGTTTAGACATGCGACGCTGTGCACTGAACAGGGCGCAACAATTCAGAAGCGGATTTAAAACAGACAATGAAACGCTGTGAACACAGTATACTGTAGTACATGTTTTCATATTGTTACTAAGTGATTAATTTGTTAACTAGATGCTGAAGAAGCACCAGAATGTCAATATTGCGGGACTCACTTAACAGTGAAACATGTGCTTTTGGTCTGCCCAATATTTAATGTCATGAGACAAAGGTTATTATCAGGACAAACTCTCAAGAACTTGTTTTATAAGATAGATAAAACTTTTACAATTTATTTTTTAAAAGTACATTTAAAGGGGTCATCGGATGTCCATTTTCCACAAGTTGATATGATTCTTTAGGGTCTTAATGAAAAGTCTATAACATACTTTGGTTCAAATTTCTCAATGGTAGTGTAAAAAACACCCTTTTTACCCTGTCAAAAACAGCTCTGTTCACAGCGACTCGTTTCGGTGCATGTTCCTTTAAATGCTAATGAGCTCTGCTGACCCCGCCCCTCTCTTCCGAGCCGCTCTCTGAGAGACTGTAAATTTTAGCCGTATTCATCGTGAAACTTGCTAACTAGCACATTGTTAGGAAAAGCAATTTGCAAAGATTCATAAAAAAAACCTTATACTCACTTCTTCTGGAGGTGAAGCTGGATCACGAATGATTTGCGCGAACATAGTTTTTTATGTAGTTCGGGGAGCATTCCCTTCAGAAACAAACATAATCCACTGCGTCTTCAGTGGCTCAGATGCATTAAATTATATTATATTTGTTAGGGCTGCTCGATTATGACAAAAGTCATAATCATGATTATTTTGGTCAATGTTGTAATCACGATTATTTAACATGATTATGAGTTGGCCATATGACCAAAACTATATATGAATGGTTTCAAATTATTAACAAATATTGTCATAGTATATTAATAATACTAAAATAACACTAATTGTGTGAAAACTGCTTGTTTTCCAGCTTTTTTATTGTTGGAGACTGGGAGTGTTGATATATTGATATATATATTTTTTTTTTGATATTTGGTATACAGTATATGATATATACAGTATCTCACAGAAGTGAGTACACCCCTCACATTTTTTGTAAATATTTTATTATCTTCTCTTTATTATTATCTGTCTTTTCATGTGACAACACTGAAGAAATGACACTTTGCTACAATATAAAGTAGTGAGTGTACAGCTTGTATAACAGTGTAAATTTGCTGTCCCCTCAAAATAACTCAACACACAGCCATTAATGTCTAAACCGCTGGCCACAAAAGTGAGTACACCCCTAAGTGAAAATGTCCAAATTGGGCCCAAAGTGTCAATATTTTGTGTGGCCACCATTATTTTGCAGCACTGCCTTAACCCTCTTGGGCATGGAGTTCACCAGAGCTTCACAGGTTGCCACTGGAATCCTCTTCCAGATGTTAGAGACCTTGCGCTCCTCCACCTTCCATTTGAGGATATATATATATACTTGTGCAGCCTTTTTATTTATTAGTAATTTAAAGACAACACAACATTCTTGTCTACAAAATTGTATATAAGTGGGTTGACAAAAAATATGAAAAAAGTACCTTTCAGGACTCGAGTCCTCAATTGAAAAAATTATTCATACATGTAATTATTTATATATAATAGTTTTTTTTTCTTTGAGGGGTAAAATTGGATTTGAGTTAAGTTTTTATTTAGCTTTATTTAAAAACAATAGAAGTCTATGGCATGCCTTTGATAGTGTGTGTGTATGTGTGTGTGTGTGTGTGTGTCTCAGTGACCGTAAGGCTGAATGAATGCAGGATTGTTCATCTCGTTAAGTTTCCTGTGTCTGGAGAGAGGCTGGTACAGCGAGAGCCGCCACACTCTCTCTTGTTGGCTCGCTCTTTCTCTCTCGTTTTCTTCTTAAACTGCTGCTAAAGATTTAGTCGAACGCTCTCCCTCCAGACATCAGACCGCAGGAGTGTTAGCACAGGACCGCTGTGTGTGTGTGTGAGTGTGTGTCGGGTTAACTTAAGGTATGTGAACCATATGCTAACTGTACTGATAGACGCTTCTCTCTCACCTCAGGGGTTTGACTTTAATGTCGAGCGTCCCAGAGAGCGATTAACCTGAAGAAACAGCATTTGAGACGCTCAGAAATTACATGTCGTGTTTGTAACGATGTTTGCTTAACCTGTCATGCTTCTGTTTTCGAGGTTATGTAAAAGTAAAACCATTAAAAAAAATAAACATACTGAAATAAAGATTTTAAAAAATGTTATTTGATGTACTATATTTAAAATAATTCAAAATTAACAGCAAAATTAATAATAAAACTGTATAGAAATATTTTTTAAAAACATAAAACTTTGAACTAAAACTGAAAGTCATAAAAAATATTTTAAATAAACATTAACTGAAATAAAATGTAAAAAATATATATAAAGTAATAGAATTAAAGTAAAAGTAAAGTAATATACAAAGTCATAAAATAACAAAAATTAAAACTAATATCATCTAAATACATAAACTTTATATATTTCTAAAAATTTACAAACGACAAAAACACACAACAAAATTACTAAAACTAATTCTAAATATTAATGAAAACATTTATTAATAATATTTTTCAATGACAGCCGTGTACCTGAAATCATAAGTGTTGCAGTTGCTTGGTTATTACTTTGTATAAATATTAGCTCGGTGCATTAATATAAATAAAAATGTTATTTGATGTACTATATTTAAAATAATTCAAAATTAACAGCAAAATTAATAATAAAACTGTATAGAAATATTTTTTAAAAACATAAAACTCTGAACTAAAACTGAAAGTCATAAAAAATATTTTAAATAAACATTAACTGAAATAAAATGTAAAAAATATATATAAAGTAATAGAATTAAAGTAAAAGTAAAGTAATATACAAAGTCATAAAATAACAAAAATTAAAACTAATATCATCTAAATACATAAACTTTATATATTTCTAAAAATTTACAAACGACAAAAACACACAACAAAATTACTAAAACTAATTCTAAATATTAATGAAAACATTTATTAATAATATTTTTCAATGACAGCCGTGTACCTGAAATCATAAGTGTCACAGTTGCAGTTGCTTGGTTATTACTTTGTATAAATATTAGCTCGGTGCATTAATATAAACTGTAAGAGTTGATGTGCAATCTGAAGCCTTTGGACTCTCTAGCGCCGATGTTTTTCCGGTCTGCGCTCAGGTACCTGCAGGAGGTGGGCTACACCGACACCATCCTGGATGTGAAGTCTCAGCGGGTCAAAGCGCTGCTCGGTCTGGCTGGAGACGGTGGAGAGACACCCGGAGACAAGCGCAGCGAGCCCATGGTGAACGGGACCGAGCCGGCCTCGCTGAAGGACAGCACCACCACCATGATCGGGTCAGACAGATCACAGTAGCTTATTTATTTACTTGAATCACTGACCATATGTCAGCCCATATTAGCTATGCTATTTTATTTTATTTTATTTTACTCCCTAAACATATATCAGCATCTATTTTATTTTATTTTATTTTACTCCCTAAACATATATCAGCGTCTGTTTTATTTCATTTTATTTTACTCCCTAAACATATATCAGCGTCTGTTTTATTTTATTTTACTCCCTAACCTAAAATCATATCAGC